CATGCACTACTGTTTGTGGCTATACACAGGGCAATCCATAACTGTCAAAGTACATGAGAAGCTCAATGAGAACAATGAAGTCATACAATAATTACTCTCTTTGTTGCATTAGCTCTTGTTTTTTCATTTTTCAAATACATTTGCATTGCACAAGTTTCACATCTATTTATTAAACATAAATTGAATAATCGACAGCAAGTCTATCACAGCACGGAATTCTCTACTCTCTAGTAACACTAAATATGTATTATCAAATTTACTTTTCTTTGCAGGATTTGCATATTCTGAAAAACATACACCAAATGTCGAACTTGAAGCTGAAACCCCGATTAATTAATAGAGGAATCACTTTTTCTCCATCTAGAAGGTAGTCTCAGGCAAATCCCTTTGTTTGTCATATTTTTATAATTGCGTTGTCATTTTTTAAAAAGCGTCCCCAACATGATTATGGATCGATTTGATAGGAGTAACCTTAAAAGTTTAATATATCACTTTGTTACTTTATATTTTACCAGTGTAGAAAATACTTTCATAAATAGTACAACAATTTACATTAGAGCTAATATAATAGTTAAATACTCAAACTTGCGTCTGAGGGAGCAAAAAGTACATCAGTTTACATCGGATCTGATTGGAGTAGAAATTACATCAATTCGATTCGGATTTGAGGATATAACAAGTATATCAATTTATATCGGAACTAAGGAAGTGCTCCAACTTTTTTTTGGAGTAATTATAGTACTTTTTTCAAGTATGCATTATACATGTTGAGCTTAAACTAATGGAAACAACGATATAATACTACACAGAAATCTTGGGAATTCTACCAGCGAAACGAAGTTAATGTACTAAAACTATATTGTCGAAGTCCATATAAATTCAACACCTAACATTCACAATTGTAATGCAATATGCAATAACTTATTCAACTACTAGTTTTATCCAGTGTTTTGCAATTCATAATTTTACAATATCGCAAGATATATATGATCAACTAAAACATTACAAACATTTCAATTTGTGGGATGTACCATAACTCAACTGCTAAAACATGTAGAAGAATTAGTATAGCTCTAATATAAGTTAGTGTACTCATTAGCCCTCGGGAGACAAACTGAAGTACTTTATGAGCTCCAATGAAAGTTCATATACTTTTTACACCAAAGAAGAGAGACTTCTTATATTACTTGTCTCTCATTTTCTCTATTTCCTATAGTCGAACTAGATCCCAACCACCCTGCAACAGAAATGGAAAAAGCAACTAAAAGATTCAATCTTTGAGATGAAAGGAAGAATAGAAAGGGCTTACAAGCCAGTAAGGCAAGGATTGAACAGTCTGACTGATAGCAAGCCAAAGAACGCCATAGCCAAAGAAAGAGCAAGCAACTCCAACAAGGAGGATAGACCAGGGTGGGAACTTGTTGGAGGCTATCCCTGGAAGAATCCCCACATTTTCCCCAATATCATTGGCCACTCCGAGAATGGTAAGCTGCTGCTGGCTGAAACCAAGGACTGATTTCAAAGAAGGGGAGTAGAGAGGGAAAGTGTAGGCATTCCCTGCGGCTATTTGAACCCAAACCGCCGCTCCAAGACCAACCCATGGTGGCCTGCTCCCTTCTTTCAGAGCCACCATCGTCGCTTGACTTGCGCTTCACCCGCTTTTTGGTTTTTGAGGTTTGATTGTACTGTCGTCGGATCAATTCTCCTTCATTTTTATTCCGAAGATGTTTGAGAAAAGTTGCAGACAGTATTGGGTCCTCCACAGTATTGTATTCGTGGTTTCAAATCATTATAACATTATTAAGGTATGGACTCATTTTGTTGCGTATAGGACTAGTGCTTGATTCAAATTTTGTTCCTCCGAAATCAAATCCTACGATTAAATTATGTACTGTTAAATTTTATAAAATTTGACCCATGTTCCATTACAATTATCATATTTTTCTTTTTCTCTCGCGAAAATTCTTTCATATCATATTTGATAATAAGCGTGTTTGACATTCAGCGGTTAGCTGTTAGCAGACGACGAGTTATGTTAACGATGGTTTGTGAATAACGAATTCAGTCACCGGGTTTGATTAGTGGAATAAATTAGAATATGTATGGTAATTTAGCTTTTTGACAATATAATTATTAGAAAATGCCATTTTTTGCAAAATGTTAACTCAAAATTCTCCTATAGCAGCTTTTTCGTCCAAAACGTTAATGCCGAACCGTTGTTTACCAAACAACTTTTTCACTTATTAAAAACACTGAAAGTGGTCAAACATTTTTCGGCTGAAACGCTGTTTACCAAACAGGCAAACACCCCCAATATTTGTGTGGTTCTAATTCATTTCTATTTTATTCTTATTTTATCAATTATTATCATTCACATAATTCTATTTTTCTTAAAAACCACACCACTTAATCACACAAAATTATTTTCATATACTCCGTATTTCATTGCAACATAGGGTTGTAAACGAATCGAATCGAATACTGAGTAATACTATTCGTATTCGTATAACTTGACGAATATTCGTATTCGTATTCGGATATTATTCGAATCTTAAATTAGATTCGTATTCGATTCGTTAATGATAATCGAATATATTTGTATTCGAAAATTCGAATTCGAATATTTGTAGGGGAAATTTTTTCACACATTCAAATTATCATGTTTTGTATGTATTTTCTTCGATTTTCGCAAATATTTCTATTAACTGACCTATTTTAAAAAATCAACTACTTCAAAAATCAATTGGAAACCCGTTCAAAATAAAGTAAACATTGTAAAATCAATTAATCAAAAAATCAATTACTTAAAAAAAACTAGTAATGAAAGCACAAAATTAATTAAAATAATAAATTTAAATTTAAACTAACAAAAAACTATTTTAATTATTTTTATTTAAATTATTATAAATTATAAATATAAATATAATAATCTAAAATATAATTCATGTATATACAAATCGAATATATTCGTATGACATACGAATCGAATATATGTATATTCGTATTCGTATTCGAATTTTATACGAATAACAAAACCGATTTGTATTCGTATTCGTAATTGATGTTTCGAATTCGAATCATCAATTTCGAATTCGAATCACGAATCAGATCAAAATTATTCGATTCGTTTACAACCCTATTGCAACATGCTTCGTATATTATCCAAATGCTGATTTATTATAGATTTCATAATAAGTATAATTATAGATATTTAGATATTTAATGTCAAACTTTCACCTAAAAGATGGTAAAAGTCAAATTGAAAAAATCCGAATTAATTTTGGCGTCATATTATTAACACATGTGAGGTATACAATATTTTAATAAATATCTGCTTAGTAAACGCATTTGATGTGTTAAAGTGTTGTTTAAGAGCATCCCCATTCACGATATTCAAATAATCGGTTTTTCTAGTACACCTAATTGCCGCATCATTCATACGCATTAAATTTTGAATAATTTCAAAACTTAAAATTACTCATCAACAATGATATTCATATAATTAATTTTTCTATGACATGCATTAAATGTGTTTTAACTATAATCTACAATAATCCGGGATTTGAATCTTGATACCGGATTTTCTTTTTAAATAATCCACCTAAATAATCTATTTACCTCAATGTTAATATTTGAAATAATCTACCACGTCATCTAATTAATCTTGAAATAAACTAACCAATGGTGATGCCCTAATAAGGATGTTTTTATTATGGACTATAATTTGCTGGTTTAGTCTGGTCTGATTTCTTTGTATTTTTATAACTATTTAAATCTGGTCTGGCCTGATTTGATCTTTTTCGGGACAAATTACAATCCAAGTAAAAACATCTTAAACATCACACTGAAATGTCATTATCAAAATAATGCAAACATACTAAGAATAAACTCAACAAAGAGAGAATGAATAAATATAGGAAAAATAGCACTTTTGATTTCAATTAGTGACCACATTGAAATGTCAGACTCGTATTTATGAAATTATTGTAAATGACATCCCTAAATTGATATCCTGAGAAAACGGAAAACGGGAAACGACAACTTTTACTTAAAAGGCTTGTTTGGAGAATTCTCAAAGAGTTTTCGTAGAATTTCCGAAACGAAAACGCTCTTTCCCTAGAATTTCCATGCTACATAGGCCAAAGGTTCCATGTATATAATGAAATTTAAGATGGAATTTTAGGAAACCAGGTCAACTATTCAACCGTAAAAAATTAAAGAAAGAGATGGTGATGAGAACATCCAAAGATGACAAGAAATAGAATCATTCCCTGTTTTTTCCACAAGGGAACAGGCATTGCCCTTTCCCCCTGCTAATGGGAAAATCATTGTTTTTTTTATGGTGGAAGGACAGAGCAGCGTTTCATTATGTCCTAGGTTCATGATCTTCAACTTTTTCAATCATCTTGCAGTGTGAGATGATTGCTGACTGGACCTTACCGGCAGCCAACCATGCAGCAAAAAATGTTGTGTTTTGTTTTGTATTTCCAATTTACTTGTTATATATTTTTCCAAGTGACTTGTTATACTCCCTCCGGTTTTTATTAAACTTCACTCTTTGACTTCACACAAAATAAGGAAAGAAATTTGACTTTACTGTAGAGTACACTGTTGAGGCACTTTTGAGACACTGTTTGGCACTGTTGAGACATTGTTTGACAGTGTTTGGCACTGTTTTGATGTAGATTTCTTTGCCAAAAAGGAAATAAGGAAGTGTGAAGTTTATTTTAGACCGTCCCAAAAAGGAAAGCGTGAAGCTTATTAAAAACCGGAGGGAGTATATTTTTCCAGGACACTTCTTTTCCTACAATATAGTCCCTCTACTTATGTGATTGGAAGGCATTAGCTGAACTTTCTCTCGAACAAAAAAAGCTAGATTGACATTTATTTACTCTCAATATAAGGTAGGATTTAAACATATACTCAAAATAACATCAATTGGAAAAAATATGAACCAACCTGGAAAAAACGGATCATGCATATAAAGGCATCATAGACATCCAAGCCATAAATAATGCTCAGTTCTTGAATTAATTAGCTAGTATGCATCTAACAGTTAGTCTTGTGATATACAAATACTTATCGCTAAAAGGAACAATTAATGTATTCTTTTAATCATACAAGGCCCAAATCAAATACTCCTAAACGTGTTAATCGAAATTAAACCTGCATTATGCCGTTCACCTTTCCTCCGGATTACTCCATATGGCAATTCAAAACTTTGAGCATAGAAACACATTCCAACCAAGCCCTTATCATATTCATCTTCTGGTATACTGAACCTCTCTTCTACTTTGTCTTCTTCCACATCATAAACATATATTCTCCTGTACTTTTTACACATAATGGTTACGGTCCTGGTTTTATCTAGGGAAAAAAATGTGAGGTTGTGCATATAGTACAGTCCAAATCCCAAAATGGAGATGGAAAAGATTGTGACCCAAGACTCTGGGTTCCCATATTCTTTCATAACTGACACTTGGATGGTTTTCCTCTCTTCATTCCTTTGACCCAAGCAGAAACATCCCTCTATGATTCGTGTACCATCTATGTAGTTGTCCTCTTCGGAACTATTCGGTCTAGGGGTGGGCAATCGTTCGAAAGCATCATCAACCAGGTCATAATAAATCACTATATCGACATCGACTAGACTAAAAGAAGGACTCATAAATGCGTGTCTTACTATCCAATGGAGAGTATTGTTGAAGTTGACACCTGCTCTTGGGCTTGTACAGAATTTAAAAGGGAAGGACAGTTTTCGCCACCCTTTGTTTTTCAAGCCTGAAAAAATGGCATACTGAACACCAATGTTGTCAATTATAGAAATCTGAAAAAGTAATAAAACAACCTTGTAATCTTTAGAGGATGGATCGTAACAAAGCCCTCCAGGCTTAAACATTTGGAGCCGTTGAAGCTCAAGAACTTTGGTAGACCGTGTCATAAGTGGGTTCCACAAGATAATGTGTTTTCCGAACGCAAGAAGAACTAACCCATTACAAGAACACAAATTACGATTCATATCAAGACTGCTACCAAAACGGTCTGCTGTTATTGTTCTAGCCTGAGGCTCATCAGTGCGAAGATCAAGGCTTATGGAGTTCTAAAACTCGTCTTCAAGCGTTGGATTCAAATTAACTTCATAAGTGGTGGATCTTGCAACCCAAAGTTGGGTACGATGTTAAAAAAAATCATTGTATTTAAAAAAACATCGTTAAAAATAGTGCACAATAATATTGTTTGATCCAGGAATTTGAGATTCTCTGGGCTGAATAGGAGTTATACCGGGCTTGAAAATTAGAGGGTGGGCTAAACGTAAAAATGAAAAAATTTACACTAACAAAATTGAAAATTTTCTAAGTTGCCCTGTGCTTCACCCTACCATAGCCCGTATATAGATCCTCCCTTGGTTTAAACTTTCCGTTATGAGAAAAGCCCCATTAATGATCTATGTTTTGAAAACAGATATCTTCTGTCTTTAAATAGATAAATAGGTAGACAAAGAAGCATTTTTTGCCAATAAGCTGACGCTTTTTGTTTGAACTTTTGAAACACGTATCTCAATGAAATTCCCTGCCACACTTCTGCATCATTTATTTTACAACAAATTGATCATCACACCCTCAAATTTGACTTTTGTATGGCCTCTGACATCCTCTAGTAATAATTAACAAAATGAACAATTGAACATCACCCATTGATCCATGTATTGTCTCCACTAAGGGCTATTGGATTATAACCTTCCCATATTTCTGGCCGTAGTAAAAACATCACAGACCGCGCTGAAAACACTAAAAAAGGAAGCAGCCATCCAATGAAACTCATTAACTATTGTATCTGTTTCAGGAAACACTTCATCATGGTTAGCAGAGAGCATATGATATTTTCAATTTAGTAAATGTAGAAACAACTAATTTGCAAAGTGGAAAAACAAACCAGACCAAACTTTTACAGTTAGGTTTTTATAATCCAATTGTAATTTGACGTCTGATAGATCTATGTAAGAGAGTGCAAAATAAAATTTTGAATTTGCATGTTATATAAAGCCTAGGCAGTGTGGAATATTGTTTGTATAATTTCTTATAGTTGCCAGACTCGGGGATATTTAGGGCACACAACATTATGGTTTTTGTCCCCAACTGAATTATCTATTTCTCAGAGTGGTGAAACCTGCACATAATAAAGCTCAAGGCTTTTACTTCCCAGCAGCTTTACTGGAGCATTAAGAGCTCTGAATATATAAACTTGCTCCATTGGAAATGCTACATAGTTAATGAGTTGTTTTTTCTTTTGTATTTCCAGTTTATTTCTTATATTTTCCATCTGAGTTTTTTTCCGTATTAATGCTAATTAATTAAGTATTTACGAAAATAGGGTCGGGTTAAAAGTATTTACGGATATACTGCTGGGTTTAACCCTGGTCGGGAAAAGTCGCCCAACGGTTTGGCGACTTACCCATAAATTACAAAACCGGGTTAAACTAAAAAAAAAAAGAGGGGCAAAATTGTCTTTTGAAACCCGTTGAATTTTACGACTATCGTGTCCGCAGGTCGCCCGCGCGGGGGGTGCGAATTTTCGATTCTGAACTGAAAGCCGAAATTCTTGTGTGCGCGAGAGCTCCCCTATTCTCCTTCACCTTTTAATTCTAAGAGAGGAGTGGTTCATATTTATAGGCTTCAAACTTCTCAAGGAGTTTAGGTGTGGGAAAGTTAAAGAAGCTTACTTTCCACCTTTGCTTAAAAGTGTACACTTTTCCATCTTTCTTTTTCAAGAGCAAATTTGAGCCACTTCAAACTTCAAAGTCCAAAACTCCAACACCAAAGGTCAACACTACAATCAAAGCTTCCAAGAGTCAACATTGAGATTTTAAAAAAAACAAGGTTAAGACTATTTTTTTCAAACTCCAAACTACATTTCAAGGTCCAAGATAGTATTGTTTCCTATCATCTACTTCATTTCATTCACTGTTTTTAAGTTTAACCCGGTTTTTTAATTTATGGGTAAGTCGCCAAACCGTTGGGCGACTTATAAGTCGCCAAACGGTTTGGCGACTTTCCCCGACCAGGGTTAAACCCAGCAGTATATCCGTAAATACTTTTAACCCGACCCTATTTTCGTAAATACTTAATTAATTAGCATTAATACGGAAAAACACTACAAAAAAAAGGCGAGATTGTCACGGAATTTGGCACGGACTTATCAATTTTTCATGCCAAATAACTCGTGCCAAAGTGTTTTTGGCACGGATTTGGCATATCCCTGCCAAAATCCGTGCCAATTCTGTGCCAAAATCCCTGTCAATCCCGTGTTTTTTTTGTAGTGAAAAACTCTTTCCATCTGCTCATCTGACTTGTTATATTTTCTCCAGGCACTTCTTTTCTTATAATGTTGTCCCTCTACTTTTTCTGGCACAATAAAAAAGCTAGATTGACATTCACACTTAATTCTCAAAGCAGTTGAGAAACGAACATCAACCATTGGCCATTAAGGGCTATTGAATTGGATTAATAAAATAAATATGTATCTCTGATTGTATATTAATTTATTAATGAAATGTGTATCGTCAAATAAAAATTGTTATTCCCGGTCAGAAAGACTACCATACGACTTGCTCTGAATACATATGTAGCTTAAGACTAAAATTAGAAGAAATATGAACCATCCTGGAAAATACAGATGAATACATATATATCCATGATCCTTTTGAGTTTTGACTTGCTCTGAAGTTCGAACAATGTAGCTTAAACTTGAAAGTCAGTAAGATATATTCACTATATACTATTGTCAAAAGATATTTGACATATTCTATATAACCTATTCTGTGGGAAAATAGGATATATTCCAAAGTATAATCACATCAATTGAATATAAATGCTAGCAGGTTCTTGAAATTAATATGTAACAGTTCTTGATATTCAAATGCTTATCGCTGGAATCAACAACTAATGTATTCTTTTAATCATACAAGGTCCAAATTAAATATTCCAAAACTTGTTATAAAAAAATCCTGCACTTTTCCCGATCACCATCCCCCCAGCTTACTCCATATGGCAATTCAAAACTTTGAGCATAGAAACACATTCGAACCATGCCCCCACCATAATTATCTTCTGGTATAGGGAACCACTCTTCTACTTTGTCTTCTTCCACATCATAAACATATACTGTCCTGCACCCGTTGCACATAATGGTTAAGGTCTTGCTTTTATCTAGGGAAAAAAAGTTGAGGTTGTAGAAACTAAATTGCAGCCTAAATTCCAAAATGGGGATGGCAAAGATTGTGACCCAAGACTCTGGGTTCCCATACTCTTTCATAACTGACACTTGGATGGCTTTCCTCTCTTGATTCCTTTGGCCAATGCAGAAACATCCCTCTATGATTCCTGTACCAGCTATGGAGTTTTCCTCTTCTAGGTTAGTCTGTGTAGGGGTGGGCAATTGTTTGAAAGCATTATCGACCACATCGAAATAAAGCACCATATCAACATGGACTGGTCTAAAAGAAGGACTCGTAATTCTGTCTCTTACTATCCAATGGAGAGTATTGTTGAAGTTGACACCTACTCTCGTAGTATCGTATTTATATGGGAAGGGCAGTTTTCGCCACCCTTTGTTTTTCAGGCCCGAAACAATAACATACTGATCTCCACCAATAATGTGGATAGGCTCATGGGAAAGCAGTAAGACAACCTTGTAATCATTAGAGAATGGGTCGTAGCAAAGCCCTCCAAGCTCCGTCCATGTAAACATATCGAGCCCTCGAAGCTCAAGAACTTTGGTCGACCGTCTCATAAGTGGGTTCCACAAGATAATGTGTTTTCCAAACGTAAGAAGCACTAACCCATTACAAGAAGACAAATCATGATCCACGTCAAGGATGTTACCAAAACTGAGAGCTGTTATGGCGCTGACCTGAGGCTCATTGGAGAACTGGGTTGTGCTTGGAGTGCACAGATCAAGGCTTATTGATCTGACTTTCAGACTTTTTGCTTCATCGATATCTTTTCCACACGAGTGGATGAGAAGTCGGGGATGCCCAAAACTTCCTGTTTCATAGATATCTTTTCCACGTGAGAGGATGAGAAGTCGGGACTGCCCAATGTGGAAGGCTTTAATGTGTTGCATGAAGGAATACCACTCTTTGCTGACAGACTGGGCTGTAACCAGATGCCTGCCTTCCAGCCTTAAGAATATGTTGTGGTTGATCTCGGACGGAAGGGTTGACAGTGGGTTTAGGGAACTCATTCTGTGAAGAGAGGTGTGGCCTGCAGCGTGATGGGACTATGTGTATAATAATATACGTATAGTATATATGCGGTTAGGGTTTGATGAGATGCATGCGCCTTCTTCAATGTCCTACACCGTATTTATTTAACAATATTTGTGAGTTACATTGTGACCACTACGGTGAGACTTTCCTAATCACGCACTTCTATTAATTAATTTAATAAATCATTAGTGTGACTTTTTATTACAATTCAACCACCTTTTTTATTTTAATTTAAACACACTTCTTCAAAAAATTAGAATATGGCATATTTAAGATTAATAAATTTATATTTATCTAACATGCATTGTTTAGAATATGGCAAAACCTTGATGCGCAATTATGAATAGATTTTTTTTAATTTGTTTGATGTTAAACTTTTTTGTTATTTTGAGACAATTTAAAAAGTGACATGATTAGATATGGTCACATGCTACCGCCCGTTTAGAAATATGACCTACTGAACAACTTTAATATCGAGATCTAACCATACTGTATTGCTAAAATAGTTGCACTACAATGTCAGAGTTAGCAAAATATGTAATTGTTCCAAACCAAAAGCTTTAATGTTTTAATGATGGGACTTGGAAGTTTATGTTGCTGCATTACATTTTGAATTCTAGTTTTATGCAATTGCTTGATTTGCAATTTTGATTGAAAGAACGATTACTTGCAATTTTAGCTTCGTTGATGGCTTAAACATGATGTATCCAATTATAATGGTTGCTGTTTAGTACAGTAGGGAATAAAATTCAGTTATTCACCATAATCAAGGTTAATTTTTTCCTTTATTTCACACAAAAAAGCAAACACTTTGGAGGCACTAGGGGAATCAGGAACAATGGAATGTACGGACTGCTCTGAATTGCAAATGCCCACATCTGCCCAAGTGAAAGTGTTGCACAATGGTATAAAAAGACATATATAGTGAAGGTCTTCTTTCCCAACATGTATACTTTAATATTTTGTTATAATCCTTCGATATTTTTGATGTATCTCTATTATTTTTTGTATTACCTATTATTACACGTTATCACGATTGATACTTTTGCAGGTGAGAATGAATTTAAATAGGCTTGGAATTGCAAAGCCTACAAAGCCTATATATTCATTAAACCTGGAAGACTAGGTAGAGGACTTGGAGAAGGACCAAGTTCAATGCTCTCTAATAAATCTATGATAACTTCAACGTTTGCTACTGTTCGTGAAAGGGCAGTATAAAGTGTGGTATAGTTCTTTGTCCTACCATTAATTCTGAAATAGATTACTTTTATTATGTCAAAGCATCACTAGCTGATTTATGTTGTTGTGATGTTTGAGTATGTTTTGGCTGCTAACTTTATATACTACATTGACAGTTCTTGAGGATGCAGGGGAATGACTTTTTTATTGTTTTGGGAGGTGTTGGTGTCCACAGAACCATCTCATGATGAGGCTTATTTAATTCTTTTTAGGATCTAAAGAATTCAATGCTTAGGACCTCTATAGTGAATTCAATGAAGTATAAAACGAAAGAAAATAACATTATAGTACTCAGAGTTGATTACACTAGTTCTAAAGTAAAAAAATCAATAGATTAATAAGTAAAGATATCACAAAATGGAACTATATGAAATAGGTCTAAATACATTGCAAGTTGTTCTAGAGCTTCTGAAAATTTTCTTAGCCAGGTGTTTAAGGTAACAAAGTCTCTACTCCCAGGGATAACTAGAGTTAAGGTCTGTGATATGCACTAGTTTATAGTGCATACATGTATGTTTTTATATTTATTCTGTGTGGATTGTTTACGGTTATTAGTTTTTTTTTTTTTTTTTTTTTTTTTTTTTTTTTTTTTACCCCGGAAAGGCAAACCACCAAAATCAGTGGGGTAAATGCCGGGGGTCAGTTACCTTATTTTATTGATAATATCAGAGATACAGATGAAGAGGGGGGCTATACCAATACCTCTCCAGCGAAAGCATTCCTTCTCAAAGTACATGCAAAATAATGAAAAAGACTATCGGGGGGGCTAGACCTGACCCAATAGATACAAGTGAAAATTAGAATCGAAAATGAGGGAAACCAAATAAGTCCGCGTAAAAACTCCTACGGGCCTGAATTGGCAATTGGCTAACTTGGTCAAAGAACATTATTTGGGCCGGGAGTGGACTCTGGGCCGCCAAATAATGGGCTGCTTCATTACCCTCCCGATACATGATAAGTCCGTATTTAGACACGCATTTGATGCGTGTCCGGGTCGGATTTTGATGGTTTTCCTGGCTTTAAGGCGTTGCAAGTCTCAATTTCGGCTCAAGTTGTGTTTAGCAGGCGTTGGATCGAGTTTCATTGCATTTGGAGTTGATTTGAAGAAGTTAGAGACCGACATCGGCGCTTAGAGAAGCAATCGGGAAGAGTTGGAAAACATTCGAGAGAGATTTGAGAGTTTTGGAGGCCACCGGAAGGTTCACGGCGAAGATTTGATGAAGAAACGGCCTTTGGATTGATTAAAGAAGTATCCGGGAGCAAACGGGGAAGAAAATAGCAAGAAAACGGTTCTAGAGCAATCCGCGCGCCCCGCGGTGCGGTTCCGCACGCCCCGCGGGTGATTCTGAGAGCAAGAATTCAAGAAGTCTGAACCGCACTATGTGCAGCCGAAACCGCACACCGCGCGGTCGAAACCGCACACCGCGCGGCCGAAACCGCACACCGCGCGGTCCAGAAATAGCCCCCAGAAGTACCTGCGCGGTTGCATAGTGCGGCGCCCGCACACCGCGCGGGCGGAGCGAAAGTCGGAAGACGGAAAAACGCGCGCGTGACCGCGCGGTGACCCGCACTATGTGCGGACGACCGCGCGGCCTGATTTTCGGCCCGTTTTCGGATTTTTCTATAAATAAGCCCCTGTTTTGCCTGTTTTTGGGAATGAGCTTAGAGAGATAAACCCTATTTTGATTTTTGAGAGCTTTTCAAGCCTTGTTCTTCAAGATTAAGGGATTCTTTGTAAGTTCTATCTTTTTAATTAATGACAATTATTTCTATTCATCCCAATTCTGTTGATTCTTCAATTATGAATTGTGAGTAGTTTAATTAGGAATTTGGGATTGATGAAGGGGTTAATTATGATTGATGGCTAGACTCTTGTCGGTTTAATTGCATGAATGCCGTTTAATTTGTGTTTGAATAATTTAACTGATATCTTTTGTAACCTGGAACCGCGGCTAGAATTACAATTGCATGTAGAATGAATTAAGAGAGATCTAATTTATTCTAGGACACCTTCACACACACTTAATCGTTCGCTAAAAGATTAGTAGCGATTAAGGAGCCGTAAGCTCGCTCGTTTTGGCAATAATTTAGGATCTTGTCGCATGAGAGATCAGCCTGGTCCCCTAAATTATTGTACTCTACGCCGCGAGAGCGGTAAGAACTTAGTAATGATTAGCTAGGCTCAATTAAATTAAATTCATGTAATTAGGCCTGTTCTGCCAGAAATCTGATTACCCCGGAATCAATCCCTGTTCCCTTTGTCGTTAATTAGAAAGAAACCAAACATTTATTTTATTCGCTCATTCGCATTAGTTTAATTTAATTTTTATTCAATCAATCAATCTCGCACACTTGCATTTTATTTTATTTTATTTTTATTCGCTGAATTTAGTTAATCTTTAATTCCCTTTAGTCCGTCCCTGTGGAGACGATACTCATACTTTCAACCACTTTACTACATCATTTTTAAGTGCGAGAAAACACACATCAGTTTTTTGCGCCGTTGCCGAGAGATCCCATCCTAGCGACACAGAAGCCCAACCTGAGGAGACCAATAGGGATGATCATGTGATTGAGTCAGACTATGATGGTGGAAATATGATGGATGATACACTTCCTGATGCTTTTGAAGACCCTCCTATGTTTGAAGATGAAGAAGAAGATAATAGTGTGAAGTTGTTTTTCCAAGAATACAAGAAAAAGTTTGAAACGGTACAAGCTGTAACTGATGAAGTCACAAATCACTGTGATCTTCATACATAAACTCCCCAGCCATTTTATTTACCATTAGTCTCAACACCTGAGGATGGCAAGGAGCAGATTAGTCATGACATTGATGCAACCAGTCAACCACTGAGGTAGGTTTGGGTACTGAAGATGAGTTGGGAAAAGATGATCACATGCTTCAAGAGAGTGGGGGCGAGGTAGATGATATCCCTAACGAAGAAGTGCCGCTCCACAATTTCTTGGAGGATATTAATAAGAAGAGTGAGAAAACGAATTGGGATGCATTCTTGGAGAGTGATAGCGAGTCAAGAGGAGGTGCTCAGAATTTTCATGGTACATTCGAGCAAGGAAAGGAGGCGTTTGTGATACATTTTGAACATGAGGATGAGAGGTTCATACTTCACTTCTGTGCTAATACGGGTTATGAAGACCATGCGCTTCCTACGTGTTTTCAAGAATTTAAGAATCTGCGTCATCTAATGGCATTTGTTGAGAGGAAGCTGGAGATGTTGACTATTAGTGCACCACTGATGTCTTTGCTATTTGAGAGCATATGAGGAAGTTGCGTCGGGCAAACGACGTTAAAAATAGCGCTTCTCGGGAGGCAACCCGAGCTTATTTCTGCTTTTGTTTTTGTTTTTGCTTTTTTTGTGTTTGTGTTTTTGTGTCTGTTTTTGCAGCTCAGGGTCTTGCTTTGGGGATGATGTGCCGAGGATCACTTGACTGAGTTTAGTTCTGCACCGACCAGCGCGATAGGGAAGTTTCCATGATTCTATTTATTCGATGCGTAATGTTAACTTGAGTTGATTTTGAGCACGTGTGACCCTTTCCTCTTTACCCCTAATACATAATGCATATTTGGTCATCGAGGACGATACCAAAGTTTAAGTGTGGGGGAGTGAATTGGGCATTCGGGCAGTAGTTGTTATATGTGATTTATTAGAGTTAGCATGCGCAGGTGTTAGTTGTATATTCATAGGAAATTCATGCAAAATTTTTGA